CCTGTCGACGCGGAAGGAATACGTGTTGGCCACCACCGGGGGAGCGGCCGCACTTGATGATAAAGATGAGGCACCTCCGCGTCGCTGTGAACACTGATACCCTCCAGCTGAAGGGCCGCCAGCTCCTCTGGATAACCGTCCCCGCCCGGGATGAACACCCACTGAACTGTGCCTCCCTTGGCGCGAGGCTCTCCTGTGCAGCTGAGCGTCGCCTTCTCGGTCAACGACAACAGCGGGCTGCGCTCGTGCCACGAGGGGGTGAGGCCGGCGGCGAATCTGGCTGATAGCACAGGCTGACCTTGCGACCCGTTTCGAGCCTGCTGCCCGCCATCGATGCGAGCCTCCACGATCTGGTCGCGCGGAGCCCTCCGCAAGCGACAGCGCGATGGGTGCTGTCTGGGATGACGACCGAGAGGACCCCCTCTGGGTCCTCCGCCGCCTCTGGCGCAGCCTCCTCGCCGGCGGGAGCGGCCCTGGAGTGGGCCTCGACTCCCTCAGGACGAAGACGACCCTCGGGACGAAGGCGACCAGCACTCCGGGTGACGAAGACGACCCTTAATACTCCGCACGCGGAGCATCCGCACTGTAGGCATCGCGGGAGACGGCCCTCAGGACGAAGACGACCAGCACTCCTCCGACCATGCCGGCGCCGAAGGGCTCCAGGCACGGAGGAGCCTGCGGGGCCAAAACGCCCGCCAGGCACGGGCAGGCAGCGCTGGCACGCGCACAGCGCCGTCGAGGCAGCAGACCGGATCGCAGGATCGAAAAGTAAGCACGAGAGATACAAGGAGAAAAGAGACGGCCGCGAAGGGCCGTCAAAAACATCTCAGGATGAAACGAATACACCTCCAGGGGTCCACGTTGTGAAACATGGCGATGTCCGAGGTCTGGGGAGGAGGACGGAGACGCCAGCAGCTGTTGGGCCAGTGTCTAACAAGGCATCTGGTCGGCGCCCGACTCAAAACTCGAAGACTTCGAATAACTAGTCGGCATGCCAATCGAGCAATAGCCGAAAGTGATGTGTAACACCATCGTTGCTACCACGAACATGATGTGGAGTAAACTGTCGTGTGACACCGCCAAGGACCACTGGCCAATCACCAGGCCAGGCACCGTAACAAGGTGCGCAAGGCCATCACCAACACCGAACGTGCAAGTGCCACTGATCGCCATTGCAGAAAATCTAATCGATCCGCCACCGTGCCCCCTGGCACGTTGAGGCGTGGTAGTATGCCAAGTGCTGTCTGGCAGGGTTTCTGTAATCTTCGAAGGGGCACCCACCTCCTCCGGAAGCGCCTCGCTGCGTGAACAGGCCATGCTCCCTGGGGGTCCCTGGGCGGCCATGGCGCCTCCCTGGGGCTCTCCAAGGCTTCCATGACGGCCCAGGAGGCCCCCAAGAGGGCCCAGAGTCGCCGAACCATCGCTCGAAGACGCCCAAGATGGCCTCAAGATGGCGCAAGAGGCTTCTAAGGAGCCTCAAGAGGCCTCCAAGAGGTCCCCCAAGAAGGCCCCCCCAGGCAAAGAGCATGGAGTCCAATATAGTGTTCGAAGGAGTTTGGCGTTCTCGCCTCTTCAGCTTTCCGACGCTCCAAGACTGCCCAATAAAGAGGCCCGGAAGACCACCTGAAAGCGGCCCAAGTGGCCTCCAAGAGGGCCCCAAGACGGCCTAGGAGCGCCCCAAGAAGCCCCAAGAGGCGCCCAAGACGGCCCAAGAGGGCCCCAAGACGGCCCCAGAAGGGGGCCGTGAGAGGGAACACGAAGCGAAAATACGAGCGGCCCAAGAGGCGCCCAAGAGGCCCCAAGAGGCCTTCAAGAGGCGCCCAAGAGGCCCCCGAAAAGGCCCCAAAACGCCCCCAAGGGGCTTCAAAAATGCCTCCAAGAGGCCCCCGAGACGCGTTCCACGAGATTCCAACGAACATCCACAAGGCTTATAACCCACAACCCAGGCACGGTGGGAGGACTTGTCGCAGGCAGCTGGATATGTCCAGATGCAGACCAGATGCAAATCTGCGATGGTCCACCGCCACACCCTCCTCCGCATCCTCCTCCCCCTAACCCTCCACATCCTCCTGAACAGCCCCCCACGCGGAGGACGACGAGGATAAGCAAAATAGTTCAGAGGTTCGCATGGCGCTCGAAAGGTCGTTATGTAGAACGTGTACACCCATATCCAAAACCATCCTCATCCTCTTCCCCTTCATTCAAACTCATCCTCATGTCATCTTTATTATCATCCCATCCTCATCCTGCCCGTCTCCATCATCATCCCATCCGCATCCTGGTGTTCCTGGTCTCCTCATCCTGCCTCCTCATCCTGACTCCTGGTACACGTCCTTCTCTTCCGTGTCGTCCTCATCCTCGTCCTCCTCATCATAATCCTCCTGTCTCTTCCTCAATCTTCACATGCAGCAAGCAAATTCAAGAGAAGTCAATACTACGTTTACCGTCTATCCCTACTGGGAAGACCCCTACGATACGATCCATCGACGGTAAGCCACTGTGCACTCTTCAGGTCGCCAACCGCTGAGGCATCTGGCCTGCCCTCACCGTGCTCTCCGCGCGCAGGAGGGCAGACATCGGCACCGACAAGCGTTGTCGCGCGAGCTCGGCTTCTCTGGTCTGCACCTTCATTGCTTCGAGGGCGCCTCCGGCGTCGAAGAAGAAGCGGACGGCCGACTGCCTGCAACGCTCGAATTCCTCGTACGGCAGGTCCGTGCCGTGTCGACCCTGGCGTTGGTTTCTGACACCGCGCTGGATCGTTCAACCTTGAACGATCGGCCGTCTCCGCAACGTCCGATCGTTCAACATCGACCGATTCTGGGCCGCCGTCGGCGTTCAACGTTGAACGTCGGCGGCGGGGTCGCCGCCGGTCGACACGACGCGAACCTACCGTAGTGGAGTTGACAGCATCGCCCTCTGACTCTGCCGTCTACTCGACCTCCTGCGGGCAAGGAGCGGTAGGTGATGTGATGCGTGCGCCGTGATCTGCCGGCCCCCTCGCAGGCCCACCAACGCGTCCAACCGGGCGGCAGAAAGCGAGGCCGTCCACCAAAATCTCTCTCGTGTTCCTTTCCGGCTTGGCTCTCCAGAACCCCTCGCCAGGCCTGTGAGTTTATTTGCCGCCACCCCCCCGGCCACTGCACATCCCGTCACCCCACATTGCTCAAGACAGCTCCCAGGTAGTCGCCACTAGGGCCCAAGACAGCCCTCATAAGTACAACGAAACCAGCCACGGAGTACCTGGTGGGGCGTTTCGTTCGCCGTGCCTCTCGCCCACGAGCCCAGGACCCCCGAAACCACCGAGACCCCTCACAGCGCGGTGGCTAATACTTTTTAGTCAGCGGCCGCGGGCGAGCGCGCCGGCGTCGAGTCAGGTCAAAGCGGGCTACGCAGCGACGGATTAAGCGAAGGCAGCGGGGGCAGGCCGCGTCTAACGCAGCTAGCTGAGGCCTCACGCGGCGGCCCAGCGGCGGGCGGGTGGCAGGGGTGACTGAGGCTGAGTCGAACTGCCGGCGTGCAGGTATGCAGGGCGTCGAGCACCAGGAAGTCGAGATACACGACGAACAGGGTCGGAAGCCGTAGAATTAAAGCATGAGCCCGAGCCCTGGACAACTGCGTGAGCGCCAGGGTGGCCGCAGCCAAAGAACCGTCGGTACGCGGTGGCTCATACGCGCTGCAACCTAGTTGTACCCGCCACCGTGCCTTCAGCACGTTGTGGAGTGCTCCAAGGCTCCTGCAGCCCTGAGAGGTTTCAAGGGTTCAAAGGTTCTTGACGGGCCCAGACCCTGGCTTCCCAGGCGCCGACGGGCCCTCTTGGGCGTTACTGGGGTGTGTCGCGTGGGCCTCTGGGACGGTGAATCCGCCGATTAGGGCCCCAAAATAGGCGCAGAGGGTCCCAAAAAGGCCCCAGAGACGGCCGAAGAGCTTTCCAAGATGCCCAAGATACCTTTACAACGCCTCCAAGACACCCCAGAGGCCTCCAAGAGGCCTCCCAAGAGGGCCCCAAGAGGCAGAATTCATTGATGCTTGCCTGCCATCATCATCATCATCATCATCATCATCATCATCATCATCATCATCATCATCATCATCATCATCATCATCATCATCATCATCATCCATCATCATCATCATCATCATCATCATCATCATCATCATCATCATCATCATCATCATCAGCATCGTCATCATCATCATCGTCATCATCATCATCATCATCATCAGCATCAGCATCAGCATCAGCATCAGCATCAGCATCAGCATCAGCATCATCATCATCATCATCATCATCGTCATCATCATCATCAACACCATCACCATCATCATCATCATCATCAGCATCATCATCATCAGCATCATCATCATCAGTCATCATCATCATCATCATCATCATCATCATCATCAGTAGCAGCATCATCATCCTCGTCGTCATCGACATCGTCATCGACATCGTCTTCGTCATCGTCCTCGTCATCACCCTCGTCAACAAGATCATCGCCCCAATGAGCATCATACTCATCATCATCATCATCATCATCATCATCATCATCATCATCAGCATCATCATCAGCATCATCAGCATCAGCATCAGCATCAGCATCACCATCAGCATCACCATCAGCAGATCAGCAGCAGCAGCAGCATCAGCAGCAGCAGCAGCACCTCGTCGGCGTCATCGGCCCTCCCTGCCGGCTCGGCTCGGACTCACTGCCTCCCGGCGCCGACCCGACCCGCTCCCACCCCCCCCCCCCCCCCGGCCCTCCGACGGCCCCCGCGCGCTCCCGGGGCACGCCGCGCCGGCCCGACCCGTTCCCGCGCCGACCCGACCCCGTTCCCGCGCCCTCCCCCTCCTCCTCCCCCTCCCCCTCCCCCTCCCCCTCCTCCTCCTCCTCCTCCTCCTCCTCCTCCTCCTCCTCCTCCTCCTCCTGCAAGCATGAAACACCTCCTCCTCGGGCCGGCCACCCGACGGCCCCCGCGCGCGCCCCCACGGCACGGCGCGCCTCCTCGACCTCTTCCATGGTCGTACTGCGGGCGGCGGCGGGCGGAGGCCCCGCCGCGCGGGGGCGGCAGAGCGGCAGCGGCAGCAGCGGGGGGAGGAGGGCAAAAAGGACTGAGGAGGGGGAGGGCCGGGGAGAAGAAGGGGGAGGAGAGAAGGAGGAAGAAAGAGGCAGGGAGGGAGACGGGGGAGGAGGCAGGGGAGAGAGGCGCGGAAGACGAGGGAGAGGGGAGGAGAGGGGCGGCCATTTCTGAGCGGGAGGAAGAGAGGGAAGGACGGGAAAGAGGAAGATGGAGAACGAGGCGGGGGGAGGAGGGAGAGAAGGAGATGGGGGGGAAGGGAGAAGAGGAGAAGGAACCGGCAACCGCCCACGACGGCCACATCTGCCACCAGAAACTGGGCAGATACCTGCGAAGCCATAGCACTGAGATGGTACGTACTCACTGCAGCCCCTTATTCCGAATCCTCCCCGCACCGTACCTCATCCGCTTCCCCATGCCCTACCCTCCCAACAGCCTCCGCCCCCTGTCTTACCACCCTCCCCGACCCAAATCTGCAATCAAGCGCTTACGATCTCGGGTATTTCTGTCCAGCCCATCATAACAGGGGCACGCACGGCAAGTAATCGTCGTAGGCTCGGATCGACAGGAGGGGTAGGCAAAATGGGGCGAGGCCTGGACATGCGGGCACGAAGAAGCAGGAGAACGCCGAGGTGATCTGCTGGGCGGTTGAGAAAGTGGAGGGTTCCAGGAGGTTTTCCCCCTCCGCCACGCGCAAGGGGAGAGGCAGCGGATGGAAGGCGGCTCCTGTTCAGAGTGGGGCCGTCGTTGGACACTTGCTCAATTACACGACCCACCCAGAAGGGACTTGGGACGGGGGGGGGGATGCAGCATCATTGACACACCTTGGGCTCACTCTCCTCCTCCTCCTCCTCCTCCTCCTCCTCCTCCTCCTCCTCCTCCTCCTCCTCCTCCTCCTCCTCCTCCTCCTCCTCCTCCTCCTCCTCCCCCTCCCCCTCCTCCTCCTCCTCCTCCTCCTCCTCCTCCTCCTCCTCCTCCTCCTCCTCCTCCTCCTCCTCCGTCCTCCTCCTCCTCCTCCTCCTCCTCCTCCTCCTCCTCCTCCTCCTCCTCCTCCTCCTCCTCCTCCTCCTCCTCCTCCTCTCCTCCTCCTCCTCCTCCTCCTCCTCCTCCTCTCCTCCTCCTCCTCCTCCTCCTCCTCCTCCTCCTCCTCCTCCTCCTCCTCCTCCTCCTCCTCCTCCTCCTCCTCCTCCTCCTCCTCCACCTCCTCCTCCTCCTCCTCCTCCTCCTCCCTCCTCCCTCCTCCTCCTCCTCCTCCTCCTCCCCTCCTCCTCCTCCTCCTCCTCCTCCTCCTCCTCCTCCTCCTCCTCCTCCTCCTCCCCTCCTCCTCCTCCTCCTCCTCCTCCTCCTCCTCCTCCTCCTCCTCCTCCTCCTCCTCCTCCTCCTCCTCCTCCTCCTCCTCCTCCTCCTCCTCCTCCTCCTCCGCCTCCTCTCCTCCTCCCCTCCTCCTCCTCCTCCTCCTCCTCCTCCTCCTCCTCCTCTTCCTCGTTTCACCCCGGAGGGCTGGCTACAGCCGTGCCCAGGCCATCGCCGAGGAGGGGCGAGGCTCCTGGAGTTGAGCACGTCAGAAAACAGCCCGTTCCCTGTGATGAGGCTGCCCTGCGGCGCGCAGCTCCCGCCCTACCTCCTCTTCCTCCTCCTCCTCCTCCTCCTCCTCCTCCTCCTCCTCCTCCTCTCCTCCTCCTCCTCCCCCTCCTCCTCCTCCTCCTCCTCCTCCTCCTCCTCCTCCTCCTCCTCCTCCTCCTCCTGCTCATCTGCCTCGTTCTCCTCCTCATCCTCCTCCTCCTTCTCCTCCGCCTCCTCCTCCTCATCATCATCATTATCCTCCGCTTCCTTCTCCTTCTCGTCAATCATCATGTTCATCCTCGTCGTAGTCGTCTCCGCCGACGCCGCCACCGTCATCATCATCATCATCATCATCATCATCATCATCATCATCATCATCATCATCATCATCATCAGCATCATCATCATCATCAGCAGCAACAGCAGCAGCAGCATCATCAGCAGCAGCATCAACATCATCAGCAGCAGCAGCAACAGCATCAGCATCATCAGCATCACCATCATCAGCATGATAGTCATCATCATCATCAGCATCATCACCAGCATCAGCATCAGCATCATCACCACCACAACAGTCATCAGCATCACCATAATCACCATCATCAAAAAGAACAACATAATCATCGTCATCAGCAGCATCCTGTTCATACTCCTCCTCATCATCATCATCCTCGTCCATCATCATGCTCATCAGTGTCGCCGTCGTCGCCGCCGCCACTGTCGTCATCATCATCAGCATCACCATCAGCATCAGCATCATCAGCATCAGCATCATAGCCATCGTCATCATCATCCTTCTCGTCTAACTCCTTCAAGACGGTCAACATGGTCATCCTCGTCGGCGTCGTCGCCGCCGCCGAC